CAATTTGGCCGGTTCCGGGATTTTGTATCCCGATGGAGGTTAGTGGTTTGTCTAATCGAATTTCATTGTGATTGTTAACTTCTTTTGTGCTAACATGAATTATATATGTTGTGTAGTTATTGGCTTTTGAGGCGATTCCTACACTCGGTAATGAATTCATTGAATTTAGGCCAGACGCGGACATAGAGTGTCCACGGATGTGTAGGAGGAAATTCAAGCAAGGGGCGATGAAAGGGTTTCCTCTCAAGAAGCTAAATGACGTTCTCGGTGAAACTAAGGTTAGTTGTCCAATTCATCGAAACTTTAACTAGTAATTTGGTGTTTTTAATGTGTGTGTGTTTTCTTTTGTTTAAACAGGATATTGTCTCTATCTTAGAATGTACCGATGAAGAATCTGTACTGTTGGAAGAACTCATCGACGAAGGTCACGAAGATGATGATGTGCATGATGTTGTGGTTGAGAGTTGGATGAAGCTCATTTCGAAAGGTAAGGGTGTGTTTTTCGAAGAGATGTTCGATGAAGATGTGGTGGCTCGGTCAGAAATCGAAGATACCCTTCCTACACCGAGAATAGCCTTCAATACTCTAGAGGCGGTGGTCAACACCCTCCAAGAAGAAGTGAGTTCGAAGTTTGATATCATTTTCGAGAAGTTAGATGGACTTGAGAAACGGTTTAATGAATTGGAAGCTTACGTGAAGAGAACGGAAGAAGATGAAGCAACAGCGGGGGAGCAAAAGAAGACGAAGAAGAAGAAAGGTGAAAAACGACCAGCCCCCCTAGAACCCGGTTCAAGACCGAAGACAAGATCGAAGAAAAACTAAATGTGGTTGTGGTGATGGTTGTGAAGATGGTTGTGAACTTGGTTATGTTATTTGTTTTATTATTGTGTTTTTGGTTGTGTAAACTTAACTTATTTTCAGGATTTGGTATTAGTAGAATTACCTAGTACGATTTCAGATTTTCCAAGGAGTTGGTAAAACTAGAAATACTAGTAAAACTGAGTAAAACTTGACTACGGTTTGGCATAGTAATACTAGTAAAACTGAGTAAAACTTGACTACGGTTTGGCATAGTAATACTAGTAAAACTGAGTAAAACTTGACTACGGTTTGGCATAGTAATACTAGTAAAACTGAGTAAAACTTGACTGCACAAAAATATAAGATATAATTGCAACACACACTACATAGAGTTCACATAGAATTAAAACACACACAACATAGACTTAAACTAAAGCACATTAAACAATGAGTCTTAATTTCAAAAGAAACAACAAGACACAACAAATTAATTACTTAAAGCTAATTTCTTCTAACAGCTCAATTCGACCCACAAGACTTGACACTACGTCCTTGAGGTAGGCAATCTCTTTTGCATTGCCTTCCAGCTGCAACTTCATTTGAGAGATAAGGAAGTCATGATTTGCGTATTCTCTCAATCTAGTTGTGTGCTCTTCCACGTCCTTCCTCAAGCTTTTGGCATCCTCTTCAATCGCATCAACCCAATATTTGCGCCTGTGTAACCCATCATCCTATAAAGCAACACAACGCAATATATAAGTTTGGTGCAGTTTAACCAGTACTACCACTATATCAATATTACCAGTATTACCTTATAGTGAACACAAGTAAAGTATCTCTTCTTCTCAATTTCCGTTGGAGATGTCTCCTCAACGATATGTTCACCACACGGACATTGAAGAGGAATGCCCCAATCAGAATCGGCTACGGCATCAAGTCGGTCCATATATCTCTTTGCCTCTTTCATGTGTCGATAGTGTGGATCCTCCCCTTGGTAGTATCGCTCCGCCATTGAGAAAGAGAGATTGAGAGAGAGAGATAGAGAAGATAGAGATTAAGAAAGAGGGCTTGAGAGATAGAGATTGAGATGTCGAGATTGATGAGAGAGAGAGAAGAGAGAGGTCGAGAGTAGAAGAAAGAAAGATGAATGAGAGAGAGGAGAGAGAGAGAGAGAGAGAGAGAAGAGAGAGGTCGAGAGTAGAAGAAGGAAAGGAAGATGAATGAGAGAGAGGAGAGAGAGAGTTAAAAATTTGAAATTTCAACGGGCGGGAAATTCAAATTTTTTGGCCAAAATTTTCAAAATGTTTTGGCCAATTTTCGAAAAAGTTTTGCGAAAAAAAAAAAAATTGACCAACCACACGTTGCCACGTGTCCAGCCTATGTGTTCACACTATGTGTTCACACTTAGTTGTACCGACAAGGATGTAGTTGTACCAAGATTGCAAATAGTTGTACTTTTGATATTTTTTCAGTTTAATTAGTATTACACTGACTTAAAACTATATTTAGTAGTTGTACAGTTTATGAATGTCAGTTTACCTATAATTAAGAATATTCTATGTATTCATATATTAAAAATTTATACTTATATAACTTTTTCATCTCAACGTAGTGATTATTTAGAAAGTGAACTTAAAAGTATAAGGAAACACTAGTTTAGATTCTTTCATAACGACCCTAAATATAAATATTTTTAAAAATTGTATTTTTTACCAACGTTAACACATTAAGTATGTCATTAATTGGTACATACCAAGTTAGGTTCAATATAAAGTAATTTTAGGCATCTTAAACATCTTTGATCAGTTATACTAGTTGTACTAGTATGTCAGTTTTAAAACAACGTTATACCAACGTTAAGACATTAGGTATGTCGTTTATTGGTACATACATAGTTAATGCATCTAAAACATCTTTTATCAGTTATACTAGTTGTACTAGTATGTCGGTTTTACTAGTTTGACCAGTTTTACCAAACAGATGCGAGTTATGCCTTAAAAATAACAGTTATACCTGTTTCACCCTGCTACGACACATCAAGCTAAAAAGAAGCAAACATACATTGTCACATAACATAGAGAGTAGAGGTAAAAACAGAAGGTTCCATACATGAATCAAAAAATAAACGAAACATGAATCAAACATTACTAGAAACTCCGAATAACAACCATTGTAGTCCTTGTCTCCGCCGCCTTTTATTTTGTGTTCTTTTTCTCTTTGGTGGTCGCTTTTCTCCAGTAGACGCAAACCTTTTAGTTCTCTTCCTTCCACCCTTTGTTTTGCGTTTTGGCGGAATGATCTGAACATCTTTCACCCAAGGCGGGACGTTCCACTGAGACTTATCCGGTACTAGGAAAATTGTCTGGTAATACGCCATCGCCCACAACTCGGTCCAATAGTACCTAGAACACAACTCATGCATTTGTATATCTCTAGTTCTATCTTTAGTCTTTAGGTACTCTATTAAAGCGGCCAATGCATGTACACAAGGGTACTTTTGAATATCAAAGAACCTGCAACCACAACTCCTCATAACCAAATTCACCAAATAAGGCTTCCCGTCGTTGTCAATGACATTGTATTGCAGCTCAAAAGAGTTTAGCTCAGTCACTTTTAGTTTCTCAGCAACCCCCCATAAATCGTGCAAGTAATTCTCCACAAAAGGCACCAATTTATTTGCAAACGAACCAGACACGGCCTCTTTCCGATGTTCATTAAACCATTCAGAGAATTTACCGATAATCGCATCAAGCATGGGAATTAAGGAGTACCTCCTAACGTCTTTGAATACGCTGTTCAATGATTCCACACCGTTGCTAGTGTCTAGGTTGTACCTTTCTCCTGGAAATACACACCTTGCCCATTTTTCAACCTTCGTAGAATCTTCGAGATACTTGGCAGCATTTGGATACCTTATCTTGAACGAATTGTATTCCACTTCGAACTCAGCCACTGTGTATAACCTGCTTACCTCCATGAATCTCCATGCAACAACATCTCTGTTATAGTTCGAAGCATGACCTTTAACATTTTGGGACAAATGGTATATACAAAACCCATGATGAGCTTGTGGATACACATTAGCTATGGCTTTGATGAGACTTGCATTTCTGTCAGTCATAAAGACTATTTCAGAGGAGTCTCCAATAACGGTTTTCAACATCTCCATAAACCAATTCCAACTCGCATCATTCTCACCGTCAAGAACACCAAACGCTAACGGATAATGATGCCGGTTAGGATCTTGAGCCGAGGCAAAAACAAGAACACCACCATATATGTTCTTTAGAAATGTTGCATCTATACTTATAACCTTTCTCATGACTTGAAACCCTTCGATGCTAACTCCCAAAGCTATGAACAAGTACATGAATTTCTTATTCTCATCCAAATGCAGATATGTTCTCGTACCTTGATTAACCTTCTCTAACATGTGCAAATAACAAGGGAGCATTTTGTAGCTTTCTTCCGCGGTACCACGCAAATCACTAACGGCTTTAACTTTCCCTCTCAATGCCGTCGAGTATGATACACTCAAACCCAATTTGGTCTTCACAAGTTCCATGATAATCTTGGGACGTGGAGTTTCCATCTGTCCTGGATAATCATTATGCAAAAGGGATGCAACTAATTCCGGGGTGCCGCGCCTGTTACTGTTGCTTGAACTTTTACTCGCCCGAGAGCAACTATGCATATTGTTGTGCCGGCGGATCGAGAAAATCTCAGTATGTGGAACTCTTGTAGCTCGTAAACCCCAACTACATCCTTCTTTAGAACATTTCAACACATAACGATCCTTATCCGACTTTGCAATTTTAAACCTAAAACAGTTAGCAAACGAAGCTCTATCCACCACTTCTTGCAATGCCTTCTTGTTTGGGAATTCGTCAAACTTCCTCAAAGTTAAACCGTCTTCCCATGGGTCTATAAACTGAGAAGGTGTTACAACAGGTGGTTGTTCAACATACTCATCACCTTCTTCACGTCCTAAAGTTTCAAAATCGCCCTCGACACCCTTTCCTTTATCTTTCTCTTCGTATGCAACAATGGCGTTAGCCTCATCATCTCTAGTCTGTTGGTTTTGATAATTCATACCAACAGAACTTTGGTCCACTCTAACAGCCTCATCATCATCATCATCATCATCTTCAATCACTTGCTCAGGCTGTTCCGATACCTTTGTGACATCCACAATCAACACACATCTTCGCTTCTCTGTATCAAAGGACGTCAAATACACATCCAAATCCTCATCATCATAAATCGTACACTTTTCCCTCACATTCGATTCTGCCACTAGCGGATAGTAGCTCAACTCCAACTTAACATGGCTCTCAACAAATCCAACCTTGTTGTTTATCCTTCCTTTTAGCATCGACAACGTTATATCACTCGCTTTTGTCTTGATCATAATACTATACATCCGACCTTCACACTTAAAATATATGCTAACTCTTTCGCTCATTGTATCCTGCCAAAAAAAAAAGTACAATAAACAAAATCAGTTTTACCAGTTTTACTAATTTTACCAGTTCCAGTACTACTTGGTTTTACCAGTTTTACCATTTATGCGAGTTGTACCAGTACTACCAGTTTTACTAGTTATACTATATATACCACAGTGCCTAGTTTTACTAGTTCTACTCAAAATCGAATTTCGATTCCGGGTTCTAAACTCTACAATTCAAGACGAATCTGGGTCTAAAAGTCATTCTAATCAACTAAATAGCTCAATCAATCAAGAACCCATGCTCAAACATCCAATGTGCTAAGGATTTATCTTCTCAACCAAAATCCAATCAAATTTCAAATATCTAGTTCTATATGAAGCTTATAGTTGAAGAATGTACCTGCATTTTGGAGCTTTGTACAGCTCAAAAGAGAAGAAGAAACGCAGGGCCTTCGACGTCGCCGGAATCGACAGCTCCGGCACCAAAAACCGAGCACGACGTCGGGTTTGGGAGGAGGAGGCGGAGAGGAGGAGGTCGTCGGGGTCGGGTCGATTTTTTGTTTTGATTTTAGTTTTTTTTTTTTTTTAATTAAACTGAATAAAAGAAAAAGAAAATAAGGAGGGGTAGAATTGGAAGAACGTATTCTCATTAATGAAGGAGGGGTAGAGAGATTAAAAAGGGAGATAGTGGAATAAAATTGTGAAAAAAGGGTATG